CACGCACGCACGCACGCACGCACGCACGCACGCACGCACGCACGCACGCACACACACACACACACACACACACACACACACACACACACACACACACACACACACACACACACACACACACACAAATAACAGGCCTCCCCAGATTTTCCCATATTTCCTGGGTTCCCAGACCTCCTCGCGTCGTGAGAAAATCACGCCGGGAGGTTTTTCGCAATTTTCGGCCTCCGGGGGCCCTCGCCGGGCCTCGGGGGCGTCAAAAAACGACTCGGGACGAAGAACCGGTCCCGGGGAAGGGGTCCAGACCTCTGGGGGTCGACGTTGCGAAAAAATCACGACGTCGGGGGTCTGGGTAACAGGACTCCCCAGATTTTCACATATTTTCTGGGTTTCTGTCTTCCCCCCCACTTCCCATATCTTCCCATACTTTCTGGGGAATCGACGACTCATTGTGTCTGTGTGTGCTTTTTCCCCCTCCTGACACCTGCCGGCCCACCAGCTGCGAGGAGAGGGTGCTCAGGCCTTAGCAGGCCCTGGAAACGACAGGGCTGCTTTTTTACCGGTTCCGTTCTGCCGTTTTTGTTGCCGGTTCCGACACCGTGTTTTTACTGGTTCCGTCGCTGTTTTTTGACCGGTTCTGGCTCAGGTTCCGATCCTGGAGTCGTTTTTTTGCCGTTTCCGGTCGCCGTTTTTTTTGCCGTTTCCATTTTCAAAGGACATTTTTTTTGGAAACGGAAAAAACGGTACTGCCGTTTCCGGGGCCGACAAAGGCTCAGGCCGCGCAGCGGGCTGTACTCGCCGACGTGCAGCTGCCCGTCCGGCATCATGCTCAGGTCCCCCACGTCCACCTTTCGGGGGCTGCGAACCCAAACCTCCTCGCGCTGTGAAAAAATCACGACGGAAGGTTTTCCGCTATTTTCGGCCTCCGGGGGCCCTTCCCGGGCCTCGGGACCGTCAAAGAACGATTCAGGATGAAAAACCGGTCCCGGGGAAAGGGTCCAGACCGCTGGGGGTCGACGCTGTGAAAAAATCACGACGTCGGGAGGCTGCGAAAGGTGCCCCCTGGCCCAAGGTGCCCCCGGCGGTTTGCTCCATTCTGGAGCACCTGGGAGCCTCTGGGCTAGGAAGGCACCAACTATACACCAACACCGATCCTGGCCAGGATCACCCTGGGCCCAGGATCGGTGCATACGCCCTCCTGCCTTGCGCAAGAAGGCGTATACACCGATCCTGGGCCCAGGGTGATCCTGGGCCAGGATCGGTGTTGGTGTATAGTTGGTACCCTCCGATGGGCCTCGTGAGGGGTGGCCTGGAGGCTGTGAGGGCCTCCTCGAAAATCCTGGGGGGCACCTTGGGCCAGGAGCACTTCTGGCAACACCCGAACCTTCCGCGGCCGCTGCGGCGGCGAGGCGTCGTCGGGTGTCTCGGCGAGCGTGGCGACCGCGGGGGGCAGCTGGTCCTGTGGCTCGCCCTCGTCGTTCTCGCCGGGGCCCGGGTCCACGCCCTTCAAAACTGCGATGTTTTTCTGCATGCTCCTGACGTTCGCCTTCAGGACCTCTTTCTCACGCTTGACTCTGGCCCCCTCCTGCTCCGCCACCTTGAGCTGCACCTTCAGAGCATCCTTCTCCCTGCCGATCTGGCTCTTCAGAATGACCACGTCCTTGGCGGCGGCGACCCGTGTCTTCACGAGCGCCTGCTGCATCTCCGCGACCTCGGCTTTCTTCGACTCGCGCGCGTTCGCGAGCTCCTGCTCCACCTTTGGTGGCAACTCATGGGAGCCTCCCATACCATCTTGCCTGCTCTTGCGAATCGACGTAAATCGACGCTGATCGACGCCAAATCGACGCTAACCAACGCTAGCTGACGATAAATCGGCGCTACTCATCGACTCCAGTCGCCAATCGACGCGAATCGACGCTAGAGACGGAAGTAGGAGGGTATATCAGGCTCCCATGATTTGGCACTGGACTCCACCTGCGCGATCTTTACGTCCTTTTCCTCCTTCACGTTCTCGAGCTCATTGTGCACCTCCTTGATGCGCCGAAACCCTCGTGGGTCTCCAGGCGTGGGAAACGCTCCCCCTTCCAATCCCCCCCCCCCCGGGGCCCCAAACTGCGCGTTCGATCCTCCCAGAAGGCCTCGGACGACACCCGTGAACTCATCACGCGGGGGTCCGGCCCGGGAGGGCAGGGCTCCTCCCCAGACCCCCGACGTCGTGATTTTTCGCAACGTCGACCCCCAGAGGTCTGGACCCCTTCCCTGCGACCACTTTCTCGTCCTGAGTCGTTTTTTGGAAGGGCCCCCGGAGGCCGAAAATAGCGAAAAACCTCCCGTCGTGATTTTTTCACAGCGCGAGGAGGTCTGGGTCTGGAGGCTCCAAGAGAGCCCCCGAGGGCGCCAAGGTGACCACGGAAGCCCCGCGAGAGCTCACCCGTGGCCGCAGGGGCGCCCCAGGAGGCCCCAACGAGGGTCCCCACTCGTCTCCGAGAGGGCCCACGATTAGCCTCAGAGGCGCCCCAGGAGGGGCCCCAGAGGCTCGCGAGCAGGCTTCCGAAGAGCGCACATGCCCGAGGAGGAGGAGGAGGAGGAGGAGGAGGAGGAGGAGGAGGAGGAGGAGGGGGAGGAGGGGGAGGAGGGGGAGGAGCAGGAGGAGGGGGGAGGAGGAGGAGGAGGGAGGAGGATCTTCCATTGGCTGTTCAGTGTTTTTGGCGTTTGCGCCGTTTCCATGTCTCGACGCCCCGGCACGGCCCAAGAGGCCCAAGAGATCGCCCCCCCGACGCCCCCAAGAGACTCCCCAAAAAACACCAAGGCGGCCAAAGGGGGGGCCCCAAGGCAGCCCAAGAGGTCACCAGGGGAGCCCCCATGGGGGCCCCAAGAGGCCCCCGAAGAGCCCCGACAGGGGCTTTCAAGCGGGAGCGCGAATTGAGATTTCGAGCTCGCCCCCTCACCAGAGGCTCCCAAGAGGCCCAAAAGGGCCCCCAAGAGGCCCCCCCGAGGCCCAAAAGAGGTCCGCTTGAGGCCCAAAAGAAACCCTCAGAGGCCCCAAGGGACAAGGCCCCCGATAGGCATCCCACCACCCCCCTTATACACATCCTATTCACCGACCCTTTCTGGGCCGTCCTCCCCCAACAGGCCCCCCACTGCAAACCTGCCCGCTCCAAGTGTTTGCTTCACTCTGGCCCAAGACGCCGTAAACCCGTAGTGCTGACACTGACGTAGTTCGTACCAGCGCACGAGATAGCCAACCGGCTGCGCACGAGCTACCCATTCGGCGCGCATCTGTTAACACACGAAACAATACCTCGTCGACGTTCACTCCTCTCGAAACGTTGCTTACCATATGGGTCGTGGCCGCATTCCCCTGCGCGCAATTCCATCAACCAAATGTCCAACAAACATCCGAATCACGAAAACCAAGTAGTTTCCCAAATACGTGCGTTGGCACGCGCACCTGAGCTGCGCGCAGGACGCCCAATAATCCGCCACGCTAGACGCCAATCAAAGTCTAGCACGAAACAGCGAACAACATGTGGCACAACAAGACAAACAAAGTGTGACACGAAAAGACGCTCACCTCCTGGGCTCACGCAGGTTGCCTAGCATCATATAGCACCCAGCTCGGTGTGGAGAGGGGCGGAGGAGGAGGAGGAGGAGGAGGAGGAGGAGGAGGAGGAGGAACCCGCGAGGAACCCCCACCCCGACGCTGCCGTGCTGCCTGATGGTCAAGGGCCGTCCAGGCGAGCGCCCTGGCGCACCCCTGCAGGAAGGCGGCCCGAAGGAACTGCGACGGCCCACGGATGCGTCTGTTCATCGGTCGACACGCATCTCGCTGGCGAAAATCTCAACAAAAAATCGATGCATGTGTTTGCGATGCTTCCGTTACCATGGGATCCCGGCCGTTACCTGGGCGCCGTGTTTCCTCAACTCGAGCGAAGAGGAGGAGGAGGAGGAGGAGGAGGAGGAGGAGGAGGAGGAGGAGGAGGAGGAGGAGGAGGAGGAGGAGGGGGAGGAGGAGGAGGAGGAGGAGGAGGAGATCCCTCAGGTTTCCCAGACTGGCAAGACAGCCCGAACGGCGCCACGTGCGACCGCGGTGCGCTCCAGGACGGCCCCAGATCGACACGAGACGGCTCAAGATGGCACACGATGATCCAAGAGGCTCTCGCGATGGCCCACGAGAGCCAAAGGGGACACCCAACTGACTACCTACCAGACCACCCCGACCCAACCCGAAGACCCGAATTTCGGGTTGGGGGGGGTACGGGTTCCATACGTGTTTTCTCGATGTTCCCCGACCCCCCCCAACTGGAAATGGAGGGCAAATCGAGACCTTCGGGTTGGGTTGGGGTGGTTTGGTGGGTGGTGACCAACAGGGCCCAAAAGGGCCGGGATCATCAACATCGGATGGAAGCTCGAGAAATTCTACGCACGGCGGCCTTCCTGGTCTTCAGAATGCCAACGACGTCCCCCACAGAACCCGAGAATCGCTCCAAGACGGCCCCGAGCAGCTTTCCAGACGCCCCCAGCAAGCCCCCAAAGAACTCCTGAGAAACCCACAAGAGGGTTCGAGGCTCGATCACCGCTCGGCCACACTCAGCAAACAACGTCGACAAAGGAAATTGTGCGTCATTTTCTCACCGTTCCCCTCTTTCTCCGGGATGGAGCACCAAAGTGATGACCGTTCCCCCCGACGCCTTGTCATTGCTTCTCTTCTCCTCACCCCTCAGTTATTCATCCTCCTTTTCTGCTTCCCCCTCCTTATCCTCTGCCTCCCTCTTCCCCTTCTCAGTGTTCGCGTTCGGCCCGCTCGACGACATCAGCAATTGACACTCCCACATGTCCACTGAACGGGCACCACCATCGGACCAGAGAGCCGCGACAAGACCGAAACCAGAAACCAAAAGACCAAGCGAGACGCGACAAGAGAGGGAACTCTAAATTAGGAAGCAGTTGCCGGGAGGTCTTCGTTGGAAAGATTAGGGAGGATTAAGGCCCCTTGCGGGGCTGTTGCGCCAGAGTGGGCCTCGGATTAAGCGAGATAAACCGGATCAAGCGGGATTAAGCAGGATTAAGCGGGAATAAGCGGCATCACGCCAGACTTAGGACCAGGGCAAAATCAGAATTTGACCCCCTTGGAGTTGCATCCGAATCTACAGCAGTCAAGCCTTATCATAAGGACGCACGATAAGGACGCAACGGCCTTGGAAGCACGTTGCAATTTGGGCGCTGCCAGTGATAGCGGCCAAGGATGGGCCGAAGGGGAAGGATGCAAGGTGACCTTGGAAATTTTGTCAATTTTGTTATACGGGTTGACTGTAATTGACATTTCGGGAACTCCGCCCTAGAAAACCTCAAGCCAATCCCAGACAAAACCCAACATACTTTCAGCCTTCACACGCCGCGCGGCGCGCGGGGGGGAAGCACGGCACGCGAACCCAGTGCGGCACGGACTAAGAACACAAGACAACCGACAATTATTGAACAGGCCAGCGGACGTGGCGAAAGCCTGAACAATCCACGTATGGAACCAACGCGTTGCCAGGGGCAGGTCTGCGGAGGCGATAGCGCAACATATCCAAGTAACTAAATCTTCTCACAAGTGTAACGCATCCCAGTACATCATTGTTACACCTTGTACAAGTTTTACCAAATTACGCAGCCCCCCTACCCCCCCAGAGGCCATGCCACTTCCGCCGACCAGGATGCCCCCCCCCCTGTGGGGCCTCCGATGAAAGCTCCACGGCGGCCGCGAAAGGCCCACAGGATGGCCTCTGAAGCGGCCAAACGGCGCGAGAGCACCCTACGGCGGCCCAGGACGCCCAAAACGCCCCCAAACAATTCACACGAGGGCCCGAGGAACCCCCGGGAGGCCTCCAAGAGGCCCCCAAAAAGCCACCACGAGGCCCCGCCACGACTGGACTGCACCCGCTCTAAACGCGACCAGACATTCAAAGAGGACGGTGACAGAAGAGCATGTACCGCGTGGCGGAAGGCGTGTCTAAGAACGAAGTGTGCATTATCACGGGCGCGGGGGGCATCCCTACAAAGCAAAAACATGGCAGCGGAAAACCAAGCCCTCCCACGCCCAACATACTTGTTAAAATAAACGGTGGCCTTCCGTTCGAGTCTAGTGCCCAAGCGGGTCCGATGTGCCTCGCTGGCAGCCCGGGCGCAAACCGTCTGGGCCACCGCCGAGAACCGACAGACTAGCCGCACTGAATAATCGCAGCACGGGGAAGGGCAACGAAGCGGTCCTACAAACCACCCCTCCCATATAGAAGTTGCGCTGCACAGGGGGGGGCCTTCTGCTGACCAGGGCCGCCATGACAAACTGCTGCTACAGCCGAAAAGGTAGGCTGGCAGCAGACTGTTGGTGGAGCACAGGACAGATCGTTCGAGTGCTCAACGCGCAACGGCCTGCTGCCGCACGGACATAGTTCATGGTGGCAGCCCTTTATCGGCGAGGCTCACTACGTCGCATCCGCGAGCATAGACCGTGACGTGCGAGTATGGTCGCACTTCTCTTTCTGACGCACTGCGTCGCATGCGGAAGAAAATCGCGACGTGCATGTCGGTCGGCGCATGCGCGAACGCAGCTCGGACACGCGATGCCTCGCGGGTTGCCCAGTGGCGTCGTCGCTGTCCCTGTTGAGGTGGCTGTAGCTGGAGCTCAACACAGTCATCTGGCGCCGCTACTCGCTCAACCTCGCTGCGGGGTGTCCGTAGGCGAGCCCCCCCTCCATGATGTCGAGGATGAGCTCCCAGCCGATGCCCCCCCCCCGCAACTTGGTCAGCCCCCGCGTCGTGGGCGTCGCGCCACAGCTTGTCGGATAGCTGTTCGGCGCGCAGCTGGTCTGCCAGTCACCATGGGCGACCTGCCGCGCTATTCTCCGACGGCGACCGCGCGGAGAGGACGGACGTGCCGTCCAAGGCCAGCTCGGCCGGCACAGCGCAACCCCCCTCCCCCCTCGGCCTCCTGATCTCATCTGCGGAGGCGGGCTCGCGCGCCATCTCGCGGAGCGTCGGGGGCGCGC